ACCAGAATGAACAGATGCAAGATTAGCAACTCAGCAAAGGCAACAATATCAGAAAAAAAAGTAGAGAAGAAGAGCTCCTCCTAGTAACTGTAGAAAATCATGCGCCATTATGCCTCCTCTATAACTTTGGCCTACATTGTATTTCTGAAGTGAGGATCCTGTGTTTTGATTTCAGGATTGGGGTGACGGCTGCATAGAAATCTTACACTTCCACATGAAGATCGATGACGATGCAGCGCATGTTGCTACGATTTTGGAGGATTCCGTGCATTTTCGGTTTCTCCATGGCTGTGTATTGAAAAACGGTGAGAACCAGGAATTGTTCATTGAGGCAAAGGATGGTCGATTGACGCTCACTCCAATTAGATTGTCTGTGGCCCATCAAGAATAATGAAAAGATGCCATTTAATTGTTTTCTGCGAGTTGTTGCTTCATAGCAAGCTGTTTTAACGGCGTTGTTGAATAGTGCTGAGCGATAGTACTCTCTCTGGTCATGTACCGTTCCACGCCAAATGTGATCATTTGATTTGTGTTCTTTTAAAAACTATTTTTAGTGTTATTTATGCGCATGCCTGTATGTATATAATGCTTGTGAAAGTTTTTTCGGCCGTTATGGTCGCTGTCTGTACTGCTATCGATGGTTTTGCGCCGAAATAAGTAGTCATGACATCTGAAATTGTTGCCGCCATTGGATTCGGAATATGAGATGGGTGATACAGGATAGTGTTTGAGAAATCAGTTAACGTGTTTCAAGGAATTCGGAATTATAGCAATTTGAAGCTGTGTAATGCAAACACTAGTCTACAGTTGGCCTTTTATTTCAATGTTAGTACCCAGCGTACATATGTCTATACTCACGATGAGTCACGGGTTGCTTCACATCTCAGATGTTAGCTTTTGAAATCTTCTTTCACAGATGTTTGTGCTATCCCTACTTTCTCCCTTGCCATCTTTGACTAGTCAAGTTTCCCAGTTTGCACCTCTTTTCTGATAGTTAAAATGTCAATATTAATAAAGATAAAGAGGTATTCTTGATAGTACTGTTTTCGCACAATAAAATTTTACGCTAAACCTTTTCTCTCCAATTTTCATCAAGCATTCTTCTAGCAAGGGTCTGGATTTATCCTTGTTTCCATTCATCCGCATGCTAGCTGACCGAGTGGGGTAAGCAAGATCTGTATAGCATTTGTGTGTATCGGAACTTCTACGACTAATTATCATTCTCCATCGCCTAGCATCTGTTAATATAATTTGAAAGCTCCCCTCTACCTGTTCTGATTCTTTTCTGCTCTCCGCTATCAGAGCGATGTCATCAGCGCAGTCCAATGGTCCATTCAGGACTACGCTTGTGATGACCTCCAGTGTGAGTAGGAAGAGGAACACGCTTACAATTAGAGCTGAGTTTCTCGTGCAAGGCATCCATTTCCGTATCCTTTGCTTTCGCTACGGCAGCCCTGGCGACCCTCTTGGAAGTNACTACGCTTGTGATGACCTCCAGTGTGAGTAGGAAGAGGAACACGCTTACAATTAGAGCTGAGTTTCTCGTGCAAGGCATCCATTTTCGTATTCTTTGCTTTCGCTACGGCAGCCCTGGCGACCCTCTTGGAAGTTCTATAGGCAACTAGGTCTCCTGGAACTCGCGTTTTCTGCCACCGCGTGTAGGCCGTTTTCTTCTGTTTCACGACTTGCTGGACTTCATCGTTCCAAAACCATGCTTCTTTGTCTCCTAGGAATCCAATTCGGGACCCTCCCAGCGTTTTTCTCGCACATTGTAAAATGACTTTCACGGTATCACTCCAGGACTGCTGGATCGGCCCTTCAGGATCTGAGAGACCAGCTTCCAATATCTCCCGTTTGAATTTCTATCTTTCGGCTTGGTGCAACCTCCACCATCGAAGCCTTCACTCCGATCTGATACTTGATTTCTTGAAGCCTGCGAGAAGAGCTTTTTGCTTCGCAGCTAATTCTTCGCCAACCAGTACCTTGATGTTCTTTCTTTCTGAGGTTCGATCTTCTTACGGTTCAGTAGCCTTTCACTGCCGACATGCCCATTCAGATCAACTTCTACAGTGAGATAGTCCCCTTCTCGAACTGTTCCGATGGCATTGTCGAGGCACAGATGAACTTATCTTTTTCACACTCGGAGTAGCCGGCTTGCGGTGTGTACACGAATATTCGAGCCAATCCGCATTGCAATGATCGACCATCCTTTTCTTTTCTCAGCAGAGAAAAGAGTCTTCAAGAGACTTCCCTACTGCTGCGGTCACAACATTTCTTGTTGTTTCTCCATTGCAATAGAGATTTACAACCTCTTCGATTTCTCTGACTTTGCTCCTTTCCAGCGTTTCTACTGAAGGCATAGGACTCAGATGACATTACGCTTCATGAGGTCAGACTTCCTAACGGGTCCCGAGAGTTTTCCGTTTGTCGTCCATTGCGTAGATTCTCACGAGGTCCTGTCTCTTTTGCTTTGTTATCCTACGCCTACGACATGACCATCTCTATCGTGAGCTGCTATTCTCCACACTCCACAGCCGGCGAAGAAGAGCTCGATGCGCTTTTCGACCAACTTTAGGAGATGATCCAAAACGAAAAGGTCTTCTACAAGTTCGTTGTGCTGTAGGGCTTGCGAAGCATCAGAGGAGGAGTTCAGTATCTGAATGTTCGGAATAGGGGACGTTAATGAGCTCGGAAATCGTTTAGCTGGCCTTTTGTCCGTGGTTCGACTCTTCCACGACGACTTTTTTTTCCAGAAACGGGAACGTCGCCGCTGGACATGGCAGTCTCCAAAGGGTGCAACTCATGCTGAAGAGGACCATATATCGACAAACGAAAAGTGGTGCTTATCAGGTGATGTTGTGGTACCATCTTCGTGCAGTGGTTCTGATCATCGGCTCCGCACTGAGATAAGAATCACTCACAAGCTGGAAAGATCTGCTGTGTAGGTTGAGCTTCATCCAACGTCCGCGATATGCGGGTAGGAAAAGCACCTCAACAAGTTCATTAGACTGTGGAGCAGGCCGGATTTCGGAAAGGATTCAACTGCTTAGATTAGATCCAGCAGTCGCAATGGTCATCGAAGTGTGCCAGGATTTCGAATGCTAGGCGAGTTAGCCGAAATGTCATCAAGCAATAAAGTTGTTAGCATCAATTTCAGAGGCTCAGTCAAATTCACAACAGGGTATTCTTATGACTGTGTCGTGACTATCCGAGTGTCATCCAGGAACTCTCTGTTTTCTATTATTGAGTGACAGGAGCGGGAGTTGGGGCTATTGTGTTGGTTTGCTGATATTGGAAAAAACTCTAGATTCATCGAGGACTTGCGCACTCCGATGAAGCTAGTGAAACTACGGGTGCCAAACTCCCAAACTGATTTAGCCTTGCCCTCCCTATGTATTCACGTCTTGCGAAGGCTTGCTGGAGCCTTTGCCTGTAAGCATCGTACTCTGCAGAAGCAGTCGGCGGACGGGTTGCAGCCTTCTTAGAAGTGTTACAGCACTTCAGGAAGATATTTTAAGGGAATGTGTGGCGGCTCATTTAATCTGATTTCAAAAACGGGTTTCGGATTTTGGGTCTGCCCACTCCCCGACCCACATAAAGATTGCAATCGCTAATTTGGTTTTTCCTTCTATAAACATTCAATTAGCACCCAGACCTGTCCAGCAAGAAACTCTGCTCGCCATAAACACAGTAAAATCCTGTCTTTGTCGAGGAGACTGGCGATTTAGCAAATGTATGCGAGAACTCGTGAAGGGGCTATGGTGACTGTAACAAGTTTGTCCCCTTCCGCAATGTCGGCTGATTGCTGTTATGTCGCAGCCATAATTGGTCAAATAGATGATATACAGCCGGGTGACCAGACCCTACGAAGTCGTGCTCCTCAAAATCTACATAACTATGTACGGTGTGTCTACATACCAAAAAAAAATGTGGTGTTACTAGTAAGGGAACAGAGCGATGGTGCAAAATCAGCAGTTGATCCGCCGAAAACTCAGGTGAAAGATGAACCGGTACAAAAAAATACGAAGCACTAAAAAATTGGTATACTCATAAAGAGAAACACAACAATAAAAAATTAGACTGGCTCATCTAACTACTTAGCGACAGGTATCGCGTTCCTTTATCTCTTACACTACCAAAACTGCGTTTGCCTTCGTTTTCTTGATGGCTTATATACCATAGCTTATGTTCAACGTTCAACTTCCTCTATTTTGTTCACAGGTGCTATGATCTCCTACTGAACCATATTGTGATACTGGACTCAGGCGCAGTATCAGAGGTGGCTTCGGATCGCAATACCTCCATGCTGCCTACAGCAGTGGCCAGAATTTTATGAACGAACGGTATAACGGTATTTCTCCACAGAAAATCATTTGATCGTCTAATAACTTGCACCATTTGCTCCCTTGGGGCTCCCTAATTTTCTGTAAAAAAAACTGGCAATAAACTCTAACCAGGACCGAAGTAATCAGTCTTAACTTTTGAAGACCAGTGTAACTTAACAATCCTTCCTTTATATAAAGCGCTCGCATCTGTCTGTCCGTCTGTCTGTCTGTCTTCTGTCTGTCCGTCTGTCTGTCTGTCTATCTGTTTGTACGGAAATTCATAACTCCTGTCACCGTGAACCTAGGACGTCTACTACTGTATACAACAACTTTCAGAAACTTCAACAGTTCTCAGAAAATTAACACCCATGCCTAAAGATCTATTTTTAAGGGCATGATCTTCTGCACTTATCGTTACTTTCAGACAAGCAAATCAGAAAAGTTGAATAGCGTGTGAAACAAGATTGTTTGACGGAAAAATAAGAGAAAGAAGGTGGGCATTCTGAATGCAGAACTTAGCTGGATTGGCCAGTGTAGGATGAAGTGTCCCAGTGGCCGCAGTGAATTGATCATCCTTCCAATTCTGTGGTCTCGCCAATGCGATTTGGGCGAAGCAAAACTTTTCTAGTGACATTACTTCAATATATACTTAAAATATCCAAAGTTCGAGAACGTTCCTGCCATGACTGTACATCTGGGAATTTCCATTCTTCAGTAATCACTGCAATGAACAACTATTTTCTATTTCGGCATATTCAAAGGTGTTGTCGTTGTCTGTTGTCGCTGTTGGGCTGACACATAAAGTTATATTCCTCATTGTTTCCTTTCTAGATTGCTTCCAAATGCAACAACAAGAAGTATCACCCCTTTCGGGGCCATCGCTTCATCCAGTTTGGTGATCTGTAAAATCAGTTCCTTCCGCGGCGAGCGTGTTGAAGTCAGTAACTTGCTACTAACAGACATCAATATTCATTTTTTTACTGTTGTGTAAATGACATATTCATTTTGACTTCGTTCTAACGAGCATCAATTTTTCGCAGAAACGGCTATTCAAGGAAAGGAACAC